TTTCTGATATTAATGAACAGGTTATGGTAAATAACCCTACATTTTTACTACCTAATATAATAAAATAAAGTAAGAAACTTTTTACTGAAAACTTTTCGATTTCAAAAATCTAGAAAGAGTAATATTTAGAATTCAAGAAATTTTCTTACAAGATTATTGTATAAAAGACTAGCTACAGTGAAAAATAAGCCAAATGTTTTTTTCTTTCTATTTTATGAAGGAAAGCTTCTGGGCATACTGCAAAGTCTAATATAGCGAAAAAGACAACAAGCTCCGAAGAAAAAAGGCCAGGCAGTGGCATATGTTCACTCACACATCATAAGCAACAACTTCTGTTTTAGCTGATTAACACTGAAATGAAGAACAAGGCCACAGAGAGAGTCTGATGTAATTGGAGAATACAGGCAAATTAAAGGTACCAGAAAGTCCATTACGTTCACGAAAGACTGATTTGTTAGGAATCATCCTGATTGGAGAATCTGAAGTTCTGTCTTAATTGTTTTTGTTCTTTCAAATTAACAGAAATCTTTAAGTTACATAGTGATTTGGGTCCTTTCTTCTGTGTGCTGACTGCCCTTGTTGATATTGGCTATAAGGAATTATTAAGCCAAGACAACCTTGTTTAGCATGTTTTTCTCTCCCAGGGTTGTTGTGGTGGAAGACAGGTTTCAAGGAAGTTCAAAGTGATTATTACGTCTTAAAAAAAACCTCTTAAGGATTAGAGACAGAGGGGTGCCTTAACGCACAGTATTAAGATGGACTGACAAGGACTGGTTTAATGCTAATCTGGCTCATCTTCTTGGGACAGGGTAGATGGTTTGCAGTTGATTACATCACCCACTGAATTCCTCCCCACTAACCAGCCATCCAAATGACAGAGAAATAAAGGCTAGAATAAGGACATGGGTGACCATTGCTCTTGTATTCCATTAGGTAATTAGCCTCAGAGTGGTATGTTCATTTATCACACTACCTGCCTTGGTGACTACTGGGTGGTTATATTCAACATAATCACAGCCTGAAAATCTTCTTTGTATTTTAAATCCATTTTGTGTTTACTTACAGCTAACACTTTATATGTACTATATGTAGTACTTACTGCTTGGAAAACAAAGCAATTTCTAAAAAGTAAATTCTTCCCTTGTAATTTACACTTCTATTACAAGCTTTACTATGAAACCTAGAAGCTTGAAAAGTCTTGTTATTATTAGAAATAAAGCAATATTTATTTGGGGGAAAATATAGGGGACAAAATTTCCCCTTTTAAAATCTTAGCTAGGCTACGGTCACAGATGGTCTCTGCTTATCTTTGTAAGGTAAATATGCAAAGCACATAGGGCTACATGGAGGATTCTGGACTGTGACCATAAGCTATTCAGATTCAGAGACCAAATACAACACCCAAAAAGAAAAAATAAAAATGAATGAAAAAATGAGCATGAGAGAAATGCTATACCAAGTAATATTTTCCTATTTCTTGGAAAACACTATTCATATGGCAAAAGGATAGGAGAGGGCAACAAAAGACTTTTCCCTTCCTTTTTAAGACACTAATAGGTATGCCGGGAATGCTAAGGGCCAATGGTTGTCACTGCTTTGTTCTCTGCACGCGAACAGCTTTAACTAATGCTGGCATCAGCTGAGTGGAGATCAGCTTTCCACATTAACTTTTTCCCTTTATATGTAGACCTTACAGTTCCATAACAATAAATAAAATTTGTAGTTACAATGCATTTGTCAATTCAGTTTAGGCACAAGGCAACTTCCACGGTGAGTGGAGATCGAGACAGTCTCTGATTGTGCAGAAGCGACACACTGCTTGCAACAAAATGATATGTTGCGAACATCTCATGGGCTGATGTTCTGTCTGATGAGCTTCCTATCTTCACTTCTGGTGGAAGTGTTGACCAGCTGCTTTGATCGTAGGATTACATTTGCATTTCTTGCTTCAAGTGTTTTGTTTTTTCTTCTCCCTCCTATCAGGTTTGTGTCTTCAGATAATCTGAGTTGTCCAAGTCCTTATGAGGAGAGGTCACCTTCTATCTAGCCTACTGATAACTCTGGAACTGTGGCAGGGAGAGCCAAGGGAGAGAATAGAACCAATTAGGACATCGCGGTTAAAAATAAACACCTCCCCAGAAACAAAACAAAACAAAACAAGTTGGTATTCCTCATTTATACCCAGGTTTACACCAAATTAGCAGTCGGCTACATGACTTATAAATGAGGTTTTTTCTTTTAAGGTGTAACTGAAATGGTTTTACTTGATGTATGTGGTAAGATTTTTAAAGGAGATCATGTAATTATAGAATCACAAGATAGAGGATTATATAACAGCTGTGGTAATTATGCAAACCTTAATTTTGGCAACATTCAGGTTGGCAATACCTGAGCTCTGAGGTTCTACTCATCCAGTTCTCAGTGGAGAGACGTTAAAGCATATATTTATTGCTACATCCAGTCCACTGTACTGGGTTAACTGTTTACATCTATCTCCTCTAAACTGAAAGTTTCTGAGGACAGGGACCATTTTGAATTCATTTTCACATTGGTTTCAGTTATTGGTCCATGGTAGGTCCTCAGTAAGTGTTTGTTCAATGAATTTATTAGGAAAATTTACTCTATTAGTACAAATTTTACCTTTATATTCTTAATATAATATATATAGTAGTAGCTCTGAAATTTCCCATTTCAGCCATTTTGGATGGAAATAGCTTTAGGAAGAATCATACTTTTCACCTCCTTATTAAACAAGGGCCACAGTATGGTTCTATATTAGAGTGATGATCTTAGGGATGGATAACTGAGACATTCAAAGCCTCATGGCCTTATATTATTGTGCTTTTACAGTCAGTCATTCTGTGGTCATTTATCAGCCATTCTGATTCTAGCAGTTGTTTTCCTGCTGCCCAATATCTTGCTGGTTTTAATCTGCTGCTATCCAGTTCTATAAAGAATTGAAGGTATCCGATGAAACCAGATAACCACCTTTATGAAATTAGCAATCTTTAAGACTTATTTTAATAGAATAAACACTAGCCTTTGAAATCTTATGGAACAAAGTGCATTTACTACATTTCTTATATAACCTTGAAACCTCTCCCCACTCCTTTTAAAAAAGAATTCTTTTTGATAGGTGAGAAAGCTCAAGGTTTAATTTTAACCTAAAGTGGGGGAATTTCCTCACAAGAGAGATAAGGACAGAGCTATGAAAGAGTAGGAGATACAGAAGCAATGAAAGAACAGGAAGTAAACGGTAGGGGAGAAGAGAGATGTGAGGTAGGGAGAGAAAGTTGACGGAGAAAGAGCTAGAGAGAGACTGGGAAGAGAATAACAGGAAATGGGTACAACAAACTCGAGAGACAAGAAAAGAAGACCCAGGCTCTGAGGTAAATGTGACAGCTGAATGTGAAGTGCTCTTCTCACAGCATGGTGGTTACCTGATACCTGACCACAGGAAGGTACCTTGACATAATCTGCCAACTTAGAAAGTCACTTTTGCACCAAGAAACACTTGCCTGTATTTATTTTAAAGACTTCAAAATTTATTTTTGAATAAAAATATTTTTTCATAATATTCTATAGTTTCCACAGAACATGAAGCAATGGCATGGGTTTTAGAGGATCTGTAATTTAACTAGCTCTTGCCTAAAGCCCCTCTGACATGCACAGTCTGTTATAGCTGTTTTTTTGGGTGTTTTTTTTTTTTTTTTTGGTGGGAGAGGTGACCGGGTTTTTTCCAGTGTGCTAATGTTAGAATTGTAACTGACACCTAAATAATTACATCAATACTTCCTCTTCTGTCCCCAAATGAAATCTTCCATTTTGGTCTAGTTTGATCCTAAGAAGGATATATGAAGAGGTGGTAGGAAATCAATTTCTTCAGGAGAAGGTGAGTTACTGACTAATCTTTGTAGTTTACAAAATATTCTATCAAATTCCAAACTTTCAGCTCAAAATGAGATAGCCACAAAACTGACAAAATGAAATTGCACTCAGTATTTTTTTCCTGCTCCAAACCTCCCATCCATTTACTTTTACTACTGCTTTTACTCTGCTGATGAAACTAGGAAAAGAACTATACACTGCTGAAGGCAGGTTATAAAAATGAAGTGACCAGTTCTATTCCTAATCCATGCTGCGAGCTATGTTTTGTTACTGACCCAAATAATTATGGTCTGTATTAATTTCTGGCACCCAAATATTAACTTTACAACTTAGAGATAATATGAAAGTATATAGTTAAGAAAGAGATGGTTCACATTTTCTAATTACTTGGGCAACAACCTCCTACTACTGTTGTCACTTTTGTTTTTTAAAAAAAAAAAATCACAAAGAAGCAAACTGTTTAGTTCATGAAGAGGAAGATAAAAAGAACAGTCTTTCAACAAGTAAAATTCCCAAGAGAAGGATGTTCTGATTCTATCATATACAACACCTCTACATTCTTTAATAGATTCCACAAGGTGTAACTAATATTCTTACAGGGGAAGGAACATGCATATTACAGACTTCCATTAATGATCCAAATGGAAGCAAGCAATAACTGTTTTGTGCATGAAGATTTCATGATAGAGAAGAGGTAGATGGTTAACAGAATACTGGTTGATGATGCCATCAAGTACTTCTGAGTAGAGGAATGAGGACCATGAGTGGTAGCAAAAGTATGTTTTGATAGATGAGTCATTGAACTGTTTTCTTCTTGGATCAGAATAATATTCATGTGAGGGAGTATACATGATGATCCAGAACATGAGAGCCCAAAGTTCTTTATGAATCAAAGGACAGTATCACATTTTGAAGAGAACAGTAATTTGGTATAAAATGACATGGGCTCTCTATATAACAGAAAGGTAAGCTGTTGGACTCCAAATTACACGTGACCTTTACCATGACCAGTGCTACCAGAGAATTCTGTTCGAAGGTTCTAACTCAGTTTAAGATGAATCAGGGGACTTCCCTGTACTTTCTTTTCATACCCATACTTACCTGGCTGATGTTTACATATGACCCATAGGGTTGGTAGTTTCACTAAGCCCAGGATGGGTTCCTGGCAGTGTGGTTGGTGGCTCTGCCGATACGGCAGAAACTTTTTCTTCTTCCCTTCTCTTAAGGCAGGCTGCTTTGGGGTTAAGGTTCCTCTCTGAAATAGGGAAAAAATAATTTCATCATTAGAGACAGAAGTTATGAATCATGGACTCCTGGGTCTTAAACTGAACAAATAGCTGTTATTTTTTCTTTCTGTGGGGATTACCAATCTCTGTGTAATTCCATTCCCATAATGAATAACCTCAGAGGCAACAATGATATGCTTACATAAAACCTCAGCATTAACTGAGCCTTAAAACTTATACTTCTTTCTGACCATTTTGTGTTTTCTTCTTATGATTTAGTTGTCCAGGGTTTAACTTGATCTACATCAATATCTTAAAGCAGTTCTTTTACTGCTTCATCCAAACACTGTGTAAAATGCTGTTATTAGTCTCCCGAATCTCCTCAGTGTCCTGTGAAGATATGTTATATTGAACTGTTATGAATGCTGACATTCTCTATGTGCTGGAGAGGGACATCTGTGCTTTATCTAGAATTCTACCAGTTCAGAAAATGATAAACTAAGAGACACCCTCAGCCATTCCTCTATAGGAAATGTGCCAACCCCTCCAGGAAGAGAGGTAGCCTGAGTATATCCTGCTTTTCTCCTTTGATTTATATGCACAGCAGAGAAGACTGAATGGAACTTCTGATGTGGGCATTTTCAAAGTAGCTTAGAGTGTGGGATATTACATATGAAATAAAGATAAAGAAAAGATAAAGAAAATCCACTGAACTTAAAACCCACTGAATGAAAATCTACATAGGAACTACAGTTCCTGTTATAACTTCTTTAAATGAGTTTTAAGATATCTAACCCATGACAGCTCCTGGTGTAGTTTTTTTGTTTCAGTTTATAACATACAGTATCAGTTAAAAGTTGTTACACTTATTTTTATAAACTGATTAAAAATGTGTTAACGAATATAATATAAAAAGACCACTTAAACTTAGTCTGTAATGAAAACAATATTTTGTATAAGTTGTAATTTTTTTTACATGTTAGATTTTCTTGAAATGATGGCCCAAGCTGAATGCAACACAGCAGAGCTTTTTTTTTTCATGTATTTCCTTTTTCAGGGAAAGTAAAAACATTATTTGAATGTGCATGTTTCAAAACACATTTATAGTTCACTTCTGAGTTTAAAAAAAGTAGACAAAAGACTTTATTATGGTAAATTTACTGACTCTATTTTTACTTATACATGATGATAACATTTTGTCATCAAAGTCCCTGCATTTAGGAAAAGACATGAAGCCTATACAACTCTGAGGAGGCAATGAAGAAAGGAAGGTACACTCTTACTTAATTTATCAGGATAACTAGTAGTAGAAATCGGCACGTCCATCATTATGTAAAAATATTAGGAGCTACTTTTATTTTTTATTTTTTTTTGGCTACACCACGTGTGGCATGTGGGATCTTAGTTCTCCAACCAGGGATCAAACCTGCGCCCCCTGCGCTGGAAGTGTGGAGTCTTAACCACTGGACCACCAGGGAAGTCCCAGGCGCTGCTTTCTTAACAAGGAATTGTGTACCTCTGACAAATAAGAGAAGTCTTGTCTTTCATTAGGTGTCATATCTCCTTTACTGTGTAGGCAATAGTCTCAAACAATGACCAGAGAGACTGAAAAGACGGCACAAATTAACATGTGAAATCCAAAGAGGAGAAAGATTTCAACGTTTTCTAATTGAAACATTCTCACATTTCTCTTACAATGGAACATTGCTCTTATCTTACTAAGACTCTAGGAGGCATGATCAGAATAGCTGGAAAGGACCAGAACCAAAAACTCAAGTTAGGCAAGATTTTGTAGACTCCTGCAATGAGTCAGACAACACTCAGGGCTGGAAGAACCAAGAAAATACTACAGTAAGCTCTACGAAATGTGAAGTAAGTGAGCTTTGATCCAAAAAAGCAAAAGCTAGTGCTGTTGCCTCATACTTCCTGGTCTGTGTGAGCAGGCCATGGCAAACATGTTAAGTAGCCAGGAAGGCCTGATACAGAGGTAAGAAGAAGTCAGACATTATGTGCGGAGCATAAGAAGCAACTGTCTTTCTTACGTTTCTATTAAGGGTCTATTACCCTCTGGTATGTGACTGAGGACTTGCCTCTCTATAATATCAACTTCTTAACATGTTTATAGCACAATATTTGGCTAATGCAACAGTCACTTCTTCAATATTATGATTAGGTAAATATTTGTTATTACATCTATGTAGACATACTTGCAAGTCAAGAATTTTGAATTGATTGTTTCCTTGTTCATATGACTGTTTTTCCTGTAGTTAATAGTTGCTTTGCTTTTCATTTGTTAGTAATGACAATTTCCCCCCACCCCGAAATGCTCTAATAGATCTAACAAATGCCTCTCAATATTTCTTCCTAAAATCTCAAACACATCATCATATTATCTATTAATTCCATCTTCCTTCCCTGTAAACCTTTCTTCCACAGCTAATAGTCTTCTATTTTCAATGTAAACTGGTTCTTTTCTAGGCCTAGTAGTTCTTGTTATGGGATTTTCTTTTGCTGCTCCCATGCATTAGATCCTTTCTTTCTCAAATCCTATGCCTTTGTCTTTGTTGATTATGTCCTCATTTGGCCTAAGCATATGTTCCAGATGCTTCCTCAGAAAGTGTACATGGGAGGTAGAATTTTAAAGTCTTTGCATATCTGAACTATCTTTATCCTATCTTTACATTTTAATTAATAGTCTGGCTAGGTATAGAATACTAGGTTGAAAGTGATTTTTCCCCAGAATTTTGAAGGTATTGTTCCACTGTCTCCTGGAATCCAGCACTACTTCTTCAGAACTCTGATGACATTTTGAATGTTGTTCCTTTGTCTCTGAGCTATTTAAATTTTGTCTCTAAAAGCTTTAGGATATTCCTTTTAACTTGGATGCTCTGAAATTTCATGATGATACACTTCAACTTGAAGTAATTATTAAAATAATTATTCTTAAAAAAAAATTAATTAATTAATTAATTTTGGGCTGCATTGGGTCTTCATTGCTGTGCGTGGGCTTTCTCAAGTTGCGTTGAGCGGGGGCTACTCTTTGTTGCGGTGCGCTGGCTTCTCATTGCAGTGGCTTCTCTTGTTGTGGAGCACAAGGCTCTAGGCGTGTGGGCTTCAGTAGTTGTGGCACGTGGGCTCAGTAGTTGTGGCTTGTGGGCTCTAGAGTGCAGGCTCGGTAGTTGTGGCACACAGGCTTAGTTGCTCCGCGGCATGTGGGATCTTCCCGGACCAGGGCTCGAACCTGTGTCCCCTGCATTGGCAGGCGAATTCTTGACCACTGCACCACCAGGGAAGTCCTAAAGTCATTATTCTTAACACAAGATTAGAGTTTACCAATCTTGAGACAAGTACTCTTTAGTACTGGTAAATTTCCTGTATTATTGCCATGATAATCCCCTTTGCTCTCTTCTGCTCTTACTCTACTAATCCTATTGCTCAGATGTTGGACTTCTAGATTGATCCCCCCTAATTTTAGTTCTTCTCTCCTATTTTTCATCTCTTTCTAGGAGATTTTTCTCAGTTTTATCAGCTAACCTCTACTATATTTTTTCTGCTATCATATCATCTGAATTTCTTTTTCATGGCTTCTTTCTCTTTTATGCATACATTTTCTCTTATTAGAAGACATTAATTTTATTAAAAAAAAAAGTTTCCCAATGCTTTTTGCATGTCTCTGTTTTCTTCTTTTTTTTTTGTTTGGTTTGATCTCAATTTCTCTTTTTCATGGTGGTTTTTCTTAAATCTTTGGCTGTCCTTTAGTATCAGAAATAAGACATCAACTGGTGGGCTTTATTACTCTATGGTAATCCAAAAGTGAGAAATTATTACTCAGGAATTCCTAAATCTGGAGGTCTTTTCTCTAGAGTATTTTAATTTCTTTAGAAAAGAATTATCCCATTTCCTTGAGGACAGAATTAATATACTTTGTTGCCAGCATTAGGAAAGCAAAGCAGGACACAGGGCTGCAGGTCTCACTGTTCAGCTTCATACTTCACTCATTCTCTGCTCCTCTTGGTGTTTCAGATTTGCAGCCTTTCAGATTTCACTTTTTGCTAAAAATAATCCTCCTGGCTTCTATGGTCGAAGGGAAAAGAGGGCAGAAGCAATATGAAGTACAGAGGAGACTTAGGGATCCAACTTTCCATAGCAAACCTCCAATGAATCTTTCTGTTTTCAGGTCTGATGCCTGACTTCTGCTTTTTCCAATAATTAGTACCTCCAAAGTCCAGAGGCTTTCAGGGGATAGGGGCCCTGTAAGGCAAAATGGTCTGCTTCTTGCTGGTATTCCTCTCTGTTCCATTTAATTTCTTCTGTCTAAGTAAGTCGGTTACCACTTCTCTATCTACTTTTGCTCTCTTGTTTGTTATTATCTTCTCTCCCCTCTATCCCTGTGGGTTAAAGCCATTTTTATTCATTTCAGTGGAGATTTAGGAAGGAGTGGTGTATTATCAATGAATATGCTAAGACTACTATGTTTGACCATCTCATTGCAACTGAATTAAATGTATTGAGGGTAGGGTCTGGAAATTTGTTTGGGAAAAGGAAAAGCCTCAGGTGATACTGAGACCAGCCAGATTTGAGAACCGCTGTCCTAGCTTATTTATCTTTGAACTAACTAAGAGACCAGTAAACTAAAATCCTAATAGTTCTATTGTCCCTAAATTATCACCAGAAGAGAAATGAGTTTATCAAATTGACCTGTGAAAGAGTTTGAGGAGGAAGTGTTTGACCACTAATTTAATCTTTAGTAAAGCTGAGAGGACAAACTTGAAGATAATATGTGAAATCTGCTAAGGATTAGTAAAACTGTAATGGTAAAATTATAGTTACGATAACAGAAAGGCTTAAATTGGCAATGACAGAGGCCATATGGGATTTGATACGTGGAGCACCAAGGCACAAAAACGCTCTGGCAAAATCTGAGGCTTGGAAGGGAAGCCACTTCTCGCTTTTCTCAAGGATTCACTGCTAGACCCAGGTCTGGTTGCCCTCCTGGTATATCTACTTGTCTAGGGATGACGGGCTGTGGACAGCTAGACATGGTCTTGGAACACTACCCCAAAGCAAAGGGGGTGGCCAGAGAGCCCAGAGGACGTCCAAAGTAGGTCATGTAAACAAAATGTATGTCTTTATAGAAATTGTTGGGCCCAGGGGCTGCTGCATAGGCCCCTGCAGGGATGAAGAGGCTTTCAAAGGTGGACAGGTTACCAAAATAACTCAAAACTACTGGAGATCAAGTGCAGGGAAGGAGAGCGGTTACACCAAACTCTGAAGGTGCTGCTATAGACAAGGCATAGGTATTATGGGCTACATGAAGGGTTCGAAACTCTGTTAGATAGCCAGCCTTTCAAGGAGTCTTACATGGATCCCACGGCTTTTACATTAAGCTGTAAAATAAAGGCTCTGGGCTTTGAAGCCCAGAGTTTGAGGGTGGGAAGAAGGCAGACTTTTATGAATATTAAAGCAGTCCCTAATGAAGTTACAGTTCAGTGTATTTAAGTTTTGTTCATTCTAATCAGTCAATGGCTCCTTATATAGAGCTTTCCAGAATAGTGTGAAAAAGTCAGTACCCATAACAATGAACAGAAAGTTAGTAGGCAGCTGGATAAGCCTAGGTGTTAGATCCTCTTTCAGACTCAGCTTTTCTATTCTAGGTGCTTGCATGGAATCATGACAAGGTGAAATCTTACAAATGAATGAATAAGATCCACCTAGGCATGATGGAGTTTATAACCTTTTTTCAAACAGAGGTATTTCTCATTTTTGATGGCTTGGATCTGAGAGTAGGTACCTCTGATCTTAAAAAAAAGATTTTTAAGAACACAAATGACTTTATTCTAACTCTAATGAACTGTGGGAAGGAAAGGTGCTGTACAAGAATAAGTTCTGGCACCACTGCTGTCCCAACAGTAAAACTTTCACAGTGCTGATGGAGGCAACAGTCTTGACAACAAAAGGCTGGGTAGCGTCAGGGTAGAAAATATATTGGGCTGCTGAGGAGGAGGATGAATATACTTGGCTACTGAATGTCAGACATAATTGAACAAAACATTTGGTAAAGTGACAGGAGATAGTGAAAGCTCAAGGGACAAATGCTCCTGCCACAGATGAGTGGCAACTATCAGACTATCTTTATGAATATCACAAGGGAGTCTATAACTTCTTTTTTTAAAAATATATTTTATTATTATTAAAAAAAAATTTTTGGCCACGCCACACGGCATGCAGGATCTTAGTCCCCTGATCAGGGATCGAATCTCTGCCCCCTGCAGTGGAAGCGCCGAATCTTAACCACTGGACTGCCAGGGAAGTCCCAAGTCTGTAACTTCTTGATCAGGTTTCATTAACATTTACGCTTTACAGGTACTTCAAGGGCTTTAAGACAACAGGAGCAGTATCTGGTTTTAGTGGTAAGTGTTTTATCTATTCATCATTTTTATTCATTAAAAACACTGGAGGGAAATGAATAGATGAATTAATTACTAGTGTTATGTTTTTCTGAAAATGTGTTCAAGTTCTCTAACTCTGGTTTCCTTAGAAAGAGTATTCTTTCTATGATCAGTGCTAAGGGTCCTTGTCGTAGTTGTCAAGCATCTGTCCACTCATACTCTTTTTTCTTTTCCAACTTTCTTTAAATAAAATATTATATAAATACCCAATAAATAAGGAAGACAAAGTTGCTCTCAATGAAGGGAGGTTAGAGATGGGGTCTGGAATCAAAGGCCACATCTATAAATTCTTTGCAAAAAGGCTTAGGATGAGGCATTCGTAACTTTGAATAAGAAGATATGTAAGTATATTCAAAAAAGCAAGCTTGATAATAGAACCTCTCAAGGGCTGGAAGCCTGTATTAATTGATAACCCAGGGTCTAGAACATAGCTGACTGGGACAGAGGAGGTGTACAATAAACACTTTGTTCAAAAAATGAAGTTTCAAAGCTTCTTCAAGGTTCCATCAAGGGAGTTCCCTGGCTGCCTAATGGTTAGGGTTCTGGGCTTTCACTGCCATGGCCCAGGTTCAATTGCTGGCTGGGGAACTGAGATCTCACAACCTGCACTGTGTGGCCAAAAAAAAAAAAAAGATTCCATCAAAATAAAACAGTTGGGAGAGCTGTCTCAGTCAGCAGTGGATAAGTCTGTATGAACCACACTTTTGTCCTTAGGGACACACAGGCATGCCAGTGCATATTCACCCAAGAACCTCATGGAATTCCTGATCAGGAATCAACGAAGAAACTCTGACACCTTACTGACATGGGTATAAACGACATCCATAGGGGGCAAAGCCAGTAGGGACTATGACCAGGCATCCTATTAACCATCAGGGCCTCAAAGATGCCCCGGGTAAAGCAGGCGAGAAACTGACTACGGAGAAGTAGGGAAGACAGGAAGGAGCAGGTTGGAGGACAGGTGTAGGCAGGTAAATACAAGAGCGTGGGAGACCAGAGTCAACAAGAGGCACAAAGCATTAATGCTGAGTAGGAAGCTGGCTGTTCACTGCATTGTTTCATAGGGTTACTCTCTACTGGTTTCTGGGAAGCATTGAGCCTACAGATATTGACCTATATAATGAGACAGAGGTGAGAGAATTATAGAGAAAACTTGATACGGATGATGCAGTGGCAGAAGTACTAGGAGCACCTACAAACAACCAGCCCAAGCAGAAAAGCGAGTGGACCCAGAAATGTCTACTCACTGGAAGCAGAACAGTTACATATCTCTGCTGAAACTACTTACCTC